TATTTGGTTCAAGACAAACTTGTAAATAAAATATAATAACTAAAAGAATTTATTCATAGGAAGAATTTATTCATAGGCAAAAAAAAAAATTACATTATAATTAAAAAAAATTAAGTACCAATAAAATATTACTTATAAGAATTACATTTGCGTAAAAAATTGTTTATAAAGTAAAAGTACCACTAATAACATAAAAATTCACTTATAGAATATAAAAAAGTTACTTATAAGTTAAAAAACTCACTTATGTGTAAAAATTATTTAAAAGTTCAAAATTAGATTATAATTGGAAAGTTACTTGTAAGAAATACAAACTAATATTTTTAAGTTATAGCTATTTATTAACTTATATGTAAAAAAATTATTTATATGCAAAATATCACTTGTGATTAAAAAAATTTAATCCAAAAAGCTATAAACTAAAAATTTCACTAAGGAATATATATGTAATTTTGCTCTTTAAAAAAGACTTTTGGATAGGTGGATAATATGCATGTGTTGGACTATTTTAAAAATTGTGGCTAAAATCACTCAAAATCGATCCGCTTATAAATGTACAAAATTGATACCTTAAAAAGTGCTTATAACCGATATCCCAAGACTCCCAAGCAAGTCCTTAATTAGTGGAACATTGATATTGATATTCGAGTAAATTTGTTCACTGAAGTTATTACATAGTACAATTTAACACTCACTTTAGTAGTGCTAATATTAATCGAGTAAGCTTGTTTGCTTTACAATTATGCAGAAAAATACAACTCAATCTACCAATCATGTAGTAGTAATAGAGATTGATAAATTTGTTCACTTTGATAATATGTTGATAAGTGTTTACTGAAAAGTTATTGAATCTGCATCAAACCATTTTATTGTTCCACGAATGCAACTCATTTTGTTCAATGCTTTTAATGCTGATTTCATGTTGAATAATTATCTCGAACAAAGATATCGGTTGAAGATCGCAAGTACACGATATTGTAACAAGTAATCTCTTTATTTGATCGTCTTATCTCACTGGCTAATTTCAATGGTTCATTTGGGAGTTATTGACATTATTTCAATGTATTCACCTCATACTTGACAACGTTTTAATCGAAATTGAATCATGGACGTAGCAAATTCCCTCTATGTAGCCCGATAGGATTGCTATGAGCTTTGTGTGACCCTCGTTACTGCATGTTCACTAGTGATGATATCATATAAGTGGTGTTGTATCCTAACCAAAGTATTATCTATTGGTTTCTATCGAGCTAGTGGCCATGCGAACCTGGGGCAACTGTGATTGATGTGGAAGCCCTAGTGGTGTCGCATGAGTGGTCCATTTGGACTTGCAACCTAGGTTTGATATGTATCTTGAAATCAAATATATGACTAATGTATCGTTTCAAAGAGTCTATTACTTCACTATACATTTTTTAAAATGTGAAATAGAACAAAATGTTATTTCGTTATCATTACCTTAGACTTCAATTTAATAAAACATCAGTTAAAATATCTCAAATCATGTAAGTTTTGCTCGAAATATCATAAAAAAATAAAATAACATGAGTTTCCGTGACATTTACAAGTCGTCATGTGTCTTGGGTATCTTGGATCAATGGGATAATCTTTGCCCACTACAGCTCATGACCCGACCCAAATGCAGTCAGAAACCCAAACTAGACGACCGGATGCATTAATTTGTAACCCACTTACTAAAATTATTTAAGGTGGGCTACCAAATGTCGGGTCTTTTTTAAGTGACCCTTCATAAACCCGGTCCGGTAACGGGTCACTTTCGTTCACCACGATCTCTGTCCCAACTCCCAACAAATCAAATGAATGATTATAAGAAGAATATGTTTGTTTGTTCACCATTCATTTGATTTCACATGTCCCCCGGTTAATTTCATTCGCTGTCAATGCACTTTGACCTAATTTTAATTAGGTCACTATACTTTAAATTATTTTAATTTGGTCACTGAACTTTAATTTTGTGTCAATTAAATCAATTTACGTTTAATTGTATCTCAATTTAAACCAATTCGTTCAATTTCATCACATTGTTTAGCGATCGACACTAGAAAAATTATAAACTTGTGTAGAAGAGCTCTAGACACTAACGTGACTGTTGCACCAAGAATCATCCTACGTGGCCTAAAAAAATTTCTTGAAAAAGTAATATAATGAAAATTTTTTGTTTAAAACCTTAGCCTTGTAAAGTGAAAGTAACTCAAAGCATTAATTTTTCAATTATATCACTTGTGTCACGTTATTTTTTATGGCTTATAGGATGGTTGATGGTATTTAATGGCCATGTTAACTCCCGTTTGGCCCCATTGTTTGGTATAATAATTTTTGGAATAATAATTTTTGGAGGTTGTGTGGTTAAAAAAGAAGGAAAAATTTTTAATTTACATATAATATTATTTTATGGAAGATTGTGTGATTAAAAATAATAGAGAGAAAGTTATAATGTGAAATACTGAGGGTCAAATTGGATCTAAATATTGAACTTTAGACAAAACAATATCATTAGGATGGCAAGATTCTCCTTCCACGACCCACTCTGCATTGTTCGCCATAGATGATCAATACGATTGTGTTTGGGAACATGATCTTCGATCTTGAATTTCATGAATATGTTAAAAAAAAAAATATTGTGTATTTTACTTTTTCAATTTAATTGAACTAAAGAAATAAAAAAAATACATTAAATCAAATAGTTAAACATTATGATAAAGTTGCCTGGGTGGGATTGGCCGATGCCACTTCCAAGTGTGACGAAGTTGAATGATGTGGTTTTATTGAAATTAAATTAAAGTCTAATGACCCTCTTGATACAGAATTAAAGTATATCAATTCAATTGATATAAATCAAACTACAGTAACCGCAAATGAAATTAAACCCACTTCCCTCCAAAACAGATTTTCACTCAGGGTACTTTCAAAATTAGCCCAATCAAACCATCAAAATTCCACATTGACTTTTTAACAATTGGATATTATTACAATAGCCTCTTGAAAGTTAAAAGGCAAAGATGCCCTTAAATATATTATACAATTACAAAATATTTTGTTTAAAAAAATTACTACCATTTTAGTTAACAATTGAAAACCAAACACTTCCCACTTAAAACTTTTAAAATCAGCTAACTTTTTCTTATCTGTTTATTTCAACACAGATAAAAACTCTCTCATCTTATCTATTTATTTCAACAAGTTGTCGACTCGTAACGTGGACTGTTATAGCAACAAACAAAGTTTACTGAATGTTTTTTTAGCGATGCCAAAAAATAAAGTTGCTTTTACCCCATTCCTCAAGGTTCAGATTGCATCAATAGAGTTGTTGAAAGGGCCAGTACTCCAATAATTTATCTTTCTATAGATGCTGCAAAAAGTGAAATTAGTTTGTTAAAAAGGTTGAACCCCAATCTTAAGGGCCCCCACCGACCCTGCCCTGAGCCATCGTGGAGGAGGTAAATTGCAGGATGTGCCTCCCAGGAGTAAGGGTGGAGAGCACATGGATATGCCAAGGCTGTTAACCCATATGGTAACTCCCGCTTGCAACAAAGCCAATTCCACCTTGCGGGGAATCGAACTCTGCACACTGCCGCGCTGAGCCCTATCCGCCCTCGCCTTTGCCACTGGGAGATATGCCCTGGGGGCGTGAAATTAGTTTGTTGCAGTCAGGTATAGATGGGAAAGGTAAGACTGTAGCACTTGTTCAAAGTCCTGCTCGTAACTTAGCTGAAAAATGGGATGCTTTATTGTACGGACATGGGATTGAAGGGATGCTCAGGTGGACTTTATATTATTCTCTGTTCACAAATATTGATTGAATGCCATTTATTAAAGGTTGAACCCCAACTTTGAAGGCTCTTACCGTCTCGCCCCTAAAGTTTGTGAGAGAGGTAAAATCGCAGGATGTGTCCCAACAGGTCATAAAACAAGAGCTGCATGTACATTGCGCCTATAAGGAGTCCAATTCCATGTCTCAAAAATCGAACCCTCACACTGCGGCTGCCAGCAAAACGTGAGATAACCTCACTCCTGTCTTTTGCACTACTAGGCTTTGCCTCGGGGGGCGATTGAATGCCATTTATTGATTTGCAGAACTGCCAATGTTCCTTATTTTGACGTTTCACTTACACTTCATTTCCAAGGTTAAAATAACTTTTTAGCATAATAAATCGCTAACCTTAGTTCTTTCATTTTCTATATAGTAGTTTCCAAAATATGTAGATACCGATACATATCTTGTTAGGATGGTATTATTGAGTTATACTATTCAAGTGTTGTTACACATACTTAAGCAATCAATCTTTGAATTTTCTATATATTCATTTCTTCAAATATTTAAAGACACTGTTATTATCTTGTTGGGTGGTTTTATTTAGTAATACTATTCAATTATCTATGAACATACTTTATCGATAACTACATCGAACTTGAAGCAGAACTGGGACTGTTATCTGCAATAACCGTTCTCACTTTTGATAATTTATATAGGTTCAATACAGCAAGTACCAGTCTATGAGCCTAAGTATATGTTGGAATGAAATAGAACCAGTAGTCAAGCCTGTGTATTGGATTTTTTCTCTCTTTTTTTTGTTTGGAAAAAATTCACTTTGTCTATGTGCCTTCGTATTTTGGTATGGTATATGTCCGGGGCTTTGGGACCTTTTAGGTAGTCGAACAATCAACAAAATTTTTTTTTATCAATTTCCTCAAGAAGATGGATTTTCAGAATTTGTACATGCATATTTGTCTGAAATTGGTAGATTATTTAAGTTTCGAAAACTAGGGGCGGACTCGGACAGTTTGGACTATGGGGTCAAAAATAATTTTTTTTTCGAACAATGTATTATTAACGAAAATAAAATCATATGTTACTACAATTGTAGCCTACGAGTTTTCATACTTTGAAAACGTCGTATAATTACATCATTATCAATATCGTCAAGTACATCGCTCTCAATATATGCAACCAAACTATCACTTAGCCATTGATCTTCCATTCAATTACGCAATTGATTCTTGACAATTTTCATTGCAGAAAATACTCTTTCTACCGTAGCAGTTGCAACTAGAAGAATTAACGCCAATGTTACAAGCCTGTAAACTAATGGGTATACCTCATGTTTTTTCGTCACAACCAAGGTTTTTGTAAGATCACTAAGGCCTTGTAACCCTTCAAAATCTTTGTGAGTGCGCATATCAATAATATATGTTTGAATTTGCTCTTTAAGTGCCAAGATCTCTATTGGTTTAAAATCTTTGGGATAATACTCACACAATTGAATTAACCTATCCTTGTTGAAAGCAGAGAATGAATTATCCGGACACAAGCATGCAACACAAAGGAGTAAGTTACTATTTACCTCAGAGAAACGATCATTCAACTCTTGAATTTGCATATCGATGATAGCATAGAAGAAATCCACACGAAAATGATGTAGATTTGTAATTTCTTGAGTGTTACGTCGTGAACGGCCTAGAGGTATAAACATATCGTCTATGTTGGAAATATCAATATTGTACCTTTCGCAAAAGCAGGAAACTGTTCTTAAAAATGATTCTCATTCATTGTCTCTCATTGCTTGAAGTCGTTCTTTACTTATCTTCACTAATTTCATAGCGTTGACAATATCTTGATCTTTCTTTTGTAATGATTTTGACAATTCACCTAAAATACCCAATACCTTTTTCATGAGATGCAAACTGAATACAAAATCAAATATCAACATAGATCCCAACAAAATACGTACTTCTCCTCACTTTCCACAACTAGTATCATCAGTGGCAATCATCTCACCGACATCAATTGTAGCAGAAAACATGATAATCAAGTTAAGTAAAGAATTATAGTGAGAGCCCCCAACGAGTATCACCAGATCGCTTAAGAGTAGTTTCTTAATTAAGGCACTTTTTACTTGAGATTTCACCAAGATTTAATGATTCAACAACTTCAAGCCTCTTCTTCTCTTGAAGAAGATCACATTGCTTAGCCGATCTGCCAACAACATTTACCACTTTATTCACTAAAGTAAAGAATGTTTCAATTTCTGCATGTTTGCTTGCCATAGTTACAAGAGCTAGTTGTAGCTGATGAGCAAAACAGTGTATATTAAAAGCACTTGGATTCTCTTTCAAAATAAGTGCTTTAAGACCATTGTACTCACTTCGCATGTTGCTCGCCCCGTCATAACCTTAACCTCTTAAACTAGATATACTTAAGTTAAATCGAGAGAATAAGTGATCAATAGAATCCTTAAGTGCGAGAGCTGTGGTATTAGAGACATGTTCAACTCCAACAAAACGTTCTGTTATTTGTCCTTTCTAATTCACATAACGTAGAACAATTGACATTTGCTCCTTCATTGATACATCATGAGATTCATCAACAAGAATGGAAAATAACCTATCACCAATATCCCTCATAATAACATCAAGTGTTTCAAATGCAATAGCACTCACAATGTCCTTTTGAATTTTAGGTGATATTAACTGATGGTTTTCGGGAGCATTACTCAAACAAACATCCTTAATCTCTTTATTATGATCACATAACCACTGCAAAAATTCAATAAAATTTCCTTGATTTCTTGAATCTTATGATTTATAATATCCACGAAATGAAAGCCCTTGTCGTAGAAGCAATCGAACACAATCAATTGATACATTCAAATGAATTCGATACTCATCTTTTTTTTCGACTTCTTAAAGAGAACACAATCAATATTTTGTTTCTAATTCACAAAAGCCTCATACTTAATCTGCGCTCGGTTGTGTGCACTACCACTTTTCCCGACATGAGTTTGAAGCCTTCCTTTCTTTTTCCAGTTTGAGAACCCTCCATCAATAAAAGAATCACCACCACCATGCTCTTCACTATTTGGTTTGAAAAGAAAACAATAAAAGCAAAATATGATATCTTTTGCTATACTGTATTCCAACCAATCAAGAAAGTTATTAAACCACGAAGTTTTAAATCGTCTTAACGACGAATCTCCAAATTCTTTCTGTGGATACAAGTGATTTCGAGGCTGACATGGACCCTTTTGTACGTATGTTCTTCGAATTTCATCCTGAACATTAACAATGTAATTAGCAATTGGAGTTCTTAATCTAGGATCCGAAGGTAGTTATGCTAAATCAATTTTATCCCAAACATCTCTTTGACTCCCAGTATTTGATTCTATTTCTTCCTGTGTAACGCCCCGAATTCTAATAACCCGAAACGTTACAAAATATGAATATACCTTGAAATAAACAGTTTTAATATAACGAGAAATTCTGTAAAAGATTGAATAACATTTAATCAAAAGATAATTTAAATATGCGAAACGTTTGAAAACATATCATTCATCCAAAAATTATTAGAACAGTTAAAAACTAATTGAAAATTTATAATGCACTCACAATTGAGTCAAAAATGAATAACCCATTATTAGTTCTAGTGTTTTTGAAAATTAAAATACTTCATGACGAGGATCCGTTGGTCCAATAGCAAATCCATCCACCGCCGTCCAGCATACTAATTATTACCTGAAAATTGTAAATAAGGGGATACGTATAACGAATTATACTCAATAAGATACTTGCTACTCCACGTTCAAGTCAAACATGAAATTAAAAATAAATTATCTTACCAACATAACATGAGAATTATCACACCATGACAAATGATAATTCTAGCAAGCGCTGCAAAATAACGTGAAGGCTAAATTGTGCTTTGAAAATAACGTGAAGGCTAAATTGTGCCTTAAAATGTATCATGATTTCTCCCGAAGGAGCCTGGATTGAAGTAATTAAATTCATAATAACGTATCTAAAAAGATGTGGAAAAATCACTAATAGCACTGAGTATCTCACCTTTTGAAGATGAAAGTGGAGAATAAAATTGTAGAAATGTGATTGCAATTCCAAAGCCTTAAAAAATCTAAATAATATAGAGGAATATTTTAAAGAGGGAGAGGTAATGGACGTGTAGTAGAATGTGGTTTTAGTGCTCTATTTATACTGTTGTTAGGCATTACACTGCATGACTTTTACACGTGGACGGGGAAAACAAATCTGCCTCCTATTTGCATAATTTACTCTAATACAAACATCTTAAATTGTCAATCTCCTAATGGCCGAAAATTATAAAATGTATGCTTATTAATTAAATTAGAATTTCAGTCCAATCTTCATTAGGGGACACAATGATTACTAGTTATATGGACACGTGAAAGTTGTAATGAAATGCATGGGTTACTCATGTACTAAAGTCTAACATCAAATAATTCAAATTCCTTTGATTTGCATTTAACTAAATTTGTAAGCAGGAATTACGTTTTAATTGATTACCTCTTAATTAAAAATGTATAATTATTAATACTTAACATAAAGACTTTGTTTAACCAAAACTTAAAATTCTAATTTATTTAGCTAAACTAGTGGTGGCAGTCAACTGGCGAAAAATCTAATCCTTTAAAACTCTTATAACCATAATATTCTTTAGACGGCTAAAACTCGGGTTTAACTTGACCAAATTAAATTTTTCTTGAGTCCATAATTCGCCATTTATTATGAGCTTCAAAATGAACCCAATATTGGTAGAGTAATTCTAACTCCTTCAATAGTTAACTATTTGGCCCATTTAATAAAGTATAAAATAATTTGATATTTTTTTTTCAATTTGGTCCCTCAACTAATAAGATAACTATAGAGATAATCAATTAACTTGCATAAGAACTTAACCAAACATTGCATTCCTATTAAATGGCAAATAAAAATATATGCGAATTTAAGTTAAAAATTCGGGATTCTACATCTTGGCCATCTTTTTTTTTTTGAACACTCGTTTCAAAATTAATTTGCTCTCCACTTGAACATACGGATTTTCGTTTAAAATATTTCTCCATGACTTTTAAAAAAAATAAATTCAACATACATAAATAAATAAATACCATATTTCAATTTTCATCAGAATATAATACTAAATTGATAATGAACAACAATTATTGAATTCTATAAACAATTCTAAATCTCCAAGTTAGAGAAAGCCAGCCATTACTTAATTGGAATTGGAATTGAGTTCTAACTTCTAATTTAGTAAAATTTCCACTTTTCCAGGGTTCTAGCCTTCTAGGAACTTCCAGCAGTGAGCAGTCGGCAGCTGAGCTCACTAGTCACTACATTGAAAATTTGAAACTATAATTTAAATGATTTTTCCCAAATTGTAAAAAATCAATTCCATACCATACTTCCATTATTTCATACCAAATTAGTGAATAGTGAATATTTAATATTTTCATCCAATTTCATTTCATCAATTTTAAACTTACACATACAAATCCAAACCCTACAAGATTAACGTACCTTTTTCAAACCGGCCAAGAGTTGAGGCATTGAGCCTCGACCTGAGCTTGAGGGACGGCTGTCGGACGTCGGTGGAACAGGAAGGCTGCTGTTCGTGTTCGGACTTCGTCACTTCGGTTAGAAATCGGTGGAACGGGAAGGCTGCGCCGCTGCTGTTTGGGAAGAAATCGATGGATAATGGAGATGGAGTGGAGAGTAGATTATGGTCTATGGACTATGGATATGGATTGGAGTCATTGGACCATATGGAGATAGATTCTAGGCATTGGGTTTTCACGGCATTGGGCTAGGGAATTAATTTGAACCCCTAAATAGATAATCGTTTTCAGCAGAAAAAAACTGCGGTGTCATTTGACCCCACAGGACCCCATGTGGGCTCGCCCCTGTCGAAAACTATTTTATTTGTAGAAGGACGACTGATAAATACTTTGTATTTGCCTCCTAAAATTTTAATTTCTTTGTTTTCAGCAACAATTATCATTGTTATGCTCAGTCTTAGAGTTGTCAAGTTCTTTTTATTTTTCCTTTTCATTCTACTACTTTATTTGTGTAATATTTTTCCATTTGCCATATTAGCTGTCTAACATTTATCCCTATCATAGGTCAAAGCCATGTTGGATAAGACTATCTATGCTTTATCTACTGTGTTTATTGTATCTAGATGATCCACATTCACGGAGGATATATTGCTACTGCGGAAGGACTGGTTCGACATCTATGTGTGATGAGTATCTTTGTGAGGGAGAATTATCAAACTGTATTGCAAAAGATGAGTGAAACAGTTTGTGGATTACGAACATTCTTGTTAAGACATTTCGCTGTCCCTGAGCTGCTCAAAGATGAGTTGCTCTTCCACGTTCAATTTTGCATAATCAAATGAATGGTTGATTATCGGTTTTGGTTTTCGTGGGATGTCCGTTTGAAGAGTCGATCCTACTGAAGATGGAATATTTGCATGATTTCTCATGATGTCTCTTCTAATGTATGTATAAAAGTAGTTGTGATAGTACATATCAAATCTACTATTGTGTACTTTCTTCTCCCCAAGCTTTGTGGAGTTGTCTTATATCTTGTTCTTGTGAGTTGTGTATCTAGACCTGCATAAGCTATGTATACAGCGGATAAACAGAAACCTTTTTGAATTAAGCTATGTACTCTGGTACGTGTTTTCGGTTGAAAATGAAATACATGGAATGATATTTTATTTATTATACTCATCTCTAATCATACTTTGTTTTGAATATCATCAAGTAGTTCCATGTCTGCTAAAAAGTTGCTTATATTATATTGATGACACGGAATGATATTTTATTTATTATATTTATTAAACTCATCTCTAATAATACTTTGCTTTGGTAGAGTAATTGTTGTAATTTATGAGAATTAAAGGTTTTTGTTGATTGAAGTTTGGAGTGTAATAAAGAGAATACATTGAGTTCGACCATTGGAGTGGATCATTATCCCTATTCGTATGCCTTTAAATCAAGCAACTTGGTCATTCAATGTCATATCAGCTATAATGTTGACCTAAAAGTGTGTGCAACCGTCCAAATTTAAGGTTCCTAATTGCTTGCTAATGTCGGCAAAATAGGTCATCATGTTGCCTAAGTCGTAGCCATGGTTTAAGTCATGATTATTGGTCACTAGGTAAAAATTGCTAATTTGTGATTGACTGTAAACGAGGTGTTGACGTTATGGGTGCCACCTATGGAGTGGTTTTATAGGTGGTAATGCTATCGTTTAGGAGACGTGTGTTCAGGATTGTAAAGATGATATTTATCGATGCTGACAGTTATGGACCAAGCTGTCCTGGTCATCTTTAGTCCCTTTTCTTTGAAGTGACTATTATATCTTCATAAGCTTTCTTTCTTGAACTAAGGTGGGTCTGAGTTGGTTTTTGAGTTAGTACACCAATAAACGTCCCCCAAAGGTCTGGACACTTACCTCAATAAAGTTCAAACCTTTGTTTTCTAGTTTAGAGTAATGACAATATTGCTTTTGGAAGTTTGCCAATTACAAGTTGATGAATGAGGTCTGATTAGTGACTCTAGCCTTTTCTAGGCTAGACATTTTTTTATGGAATCCTGCCTCCAATTCCAGGAAAGGTCTTTTCATTTTAAGTTCATTTATATTCTTCTCGCCTTTTGGAATTTTGACCTTAGTCCGTCTTTGCAGACCCTAGACTCAAAATGAGGAATTTCAGGAAAACTTGCCAATCCTTCAATCTTTCTAGGGGACAAAAGAGGAAGACACATGCTGAACCTGATGTCTCTCTAGCCTAGCGTTTGAGGGTTGGCTCGTCTAGGGGTACACATTTTGCATTCCTAGTTCTACCTCATTTTAAGTGCTTTTGGAATCCTACAAGACTCATTCTCCATCCAGGGCAATGACTTCAGCTCTTACTCCCTTCTTCCATAAGGAATTCAGCTCGTCTACTTACATGTAGTGACTAATCGTGTGCAAGGCTTCTTGGGCCAAATGAGTGTGAACGAATCTTGTATTACATGGCAACCATTTATGCCCATTATTCCATCATCCATATGATGTCGATTTTAGAGAAGGTATACTTTTTTTAATTTTATCTTTTTTAGGATGTTCTCATTTTTGCCAATTCATTTGAGTGCTATTTTTTTTTTTATTTATACTTAGGTGAATGTCAAGGTGGAGACCATGTAGAAGATCAGGATGAATCTCTGGTTATGTACCAAGCTATTGAGGAACAAAGTGCCACGAGGAGACTGAGACAAAATAGGTGAATGATAGGATCGATTTGACTGTTTGTCTGGTGGTCGAGCTGGTGGTTAAGGCTTAGTTAGAGAGAGGAAAGTTGGGTAGGCTAAGGTAAGGAAGAGCTCATCAAGGGCTAGCTGAAGTAGGAAAGAGCCAAAGTCGTTATGGAGACGAAGAATGTATAAACGGAGAAGGTTCGAGCGATCGTCTGTCGAAGCTATAGCCAGGGCAATCAGCGCAGTGGAGAAATGGAAGGCCTCTCCAAAAGCCTCTTCAGAAGCTGACTCTTTGAACCAAGAAGTGTAGTGTCATTACTCTGAATGAGGCCATCAACTTCATTGGGATGAAAGCT